GCAACCCGGCCCCCAGCTCAAAAAGGTTGCCTACCCCTGCTCTAGTTGCTGTAATCCTATGCTACTGAATATAAGGTGATTCTCCTCTGCTATTACGTTTGTGTGATTGCCTTGTGTGATCAGTTGGACTGGCAGCTGCCAGAATAGGAGCATCTTAGCGCTTGCCTGAGTCATGTGGACCCCTGCTACAAGTAGTCAAAATTACCTTTGCATTTGCTTTACTGTGCCATTGTTTGCTTTAGTGCTGTTTTAACTACTGTAATTTTGTTTGAATTTATCTTCATTATGCTGGGCTTAACGTTTCATTGTTAGTCCTCTACTGTTATAATAATTTGCATGTTGGAAGTCAGCCTGAACGAGTTACCTTTATATACCATGGAGTGTACCCCTGTGCAAGCTGAATTTGCACACCTTTCCTCTTTTTTTAACCTTCTGAACAACCTCATAGCTCAAGAGTGCTCTCCTTTAAAAAAATAAATCTGATGGTAGTTAAAAAATCTTTAGATCTTCTATGCCTACCATTATACTGCTAGGGGGTGAAAAAGCAACTGCTGAACAGTCAAAACAAGCCTATGCTTTCATGGGGTGTGTGTCATTTAAAAGTATGTAAGAATACATACTTTTAATGCTTGTTTGACCTAGGAAGCAACCAGAGCAGCACTCTTTTCATTTGCTTTTGTTAATCACTTTCCTTGCTTAATAGCTGCTCCTCATTTTCTGTTTGAACAGGGCTTTTAATTATTGGTTTCTTCTCTTGTGATTACATTTTTGGTAGTTAAAACAGTGCTGGTTTGCTATAAAATGAAGACTTTCAAAATTGAGAGAAAATGGGTGATTAAAAGCTCCCACAACTGATAGATATAGAAATGGACTATTAAAAGAGAAACTATTAGAGGAAGGCCCCCAGAGTCCAGACTGCCTATTTCTTTTTCATTTTTTGAGAGTGAATTTTGGTCCCAAATCACTTATATACACAAGAACTACCTAAAAACAAGGTGGTTTGCCTCCTCCCAACTACTAAAAATGGCCCAAAATAGGACAAAATGGGAGTGGAATGATGTGACATTCCAGAAAAATGTTTCTGCCAGGGCAAAAACTGGCTCCTGTGGCACACAGTTTATTTTATTTTATTTTATTTTATTTTATTTTATTTTATTTTATTTTATTTTATTTTATTTTTATGCTGCCTTTCTCCCAGAAAGGGACCCAAGGCGGCTCAGAAATGAAATCACATTAAAAACTTGTTACAAACATTAAAACCACAAAAAAGCACAATACCCACCCCATATAATAAACACCTCATATAAAAAGCCATCCCATGGTCACACATTAAAAGCCTGCCCGAATAAAATAAAATGGAAGGCAAGCAGGGAGGGGACCAGCCTTGCTTCTCATGGAAGGGTGTTCTAGAGGGCAGTAACAGCCACCAAGAAAGCTCTCTCATGTCCTCACCAGGCGAGCCTGTGATGGGGTTGGGACCAAGAGAAAGCCTTCTCCTGAAGATCTTATGACTCTGGTAGGTTCATATGGGGAGATACAGTTTCTCAGATAGTTTGGACCTAAGCTGTGTAGGGCTTTATAGGTCATGATCACCACTATGAATTGTGTCCGGAAACGAATGAGTAGCCAGTGAAGCAGTTTCAACAAGTCAGCATTCTGGCTGGGGTGTTTTGAACCCACTGAAGTTTCTGAACAGTTTCCAAAGACAGCTCCATGTAGACGGCTTTACAGTAGTCCAAACGGGATGTAATAAAGGTGTGTGTCTCCATAGGCAGATCTGACATCTGAAGATTTTCTTGTTCATTTTGCATGTCAAGCCATCTTTGACATATGGTGACTCTAGGAATGAGTGATCTTCATGAGCCTCATTCACTAACAGCTATGTTCAGGATTTAGAAGCTCAGGGCCATGACTTCTTTGACTTAATCAATCTGCCTTTAATACAGTCTTCCTCTTTTCCTGCTGCCTTCCACTTTTATAAGAAGCATTATTATCTTTCTCAATGAGCCATGTCATCTCACAGTATGTCCATCCATGTAAACCTCAATACTTACCAGGAAGATATAAAACAGACTGAAATCGCATGGAGGAAACTTTTAACTAACATTACTGTGGCTTAGTGGTTTGAGTATTGGACTATGACTCTGGAGACCAGGGTTCAATTCCAAGTTCTGCCATGAAACCCACTGGGTGACCCTGAGCAAGTCACATATTCTTAGCCTCAGGGGAGGCAATGACAAACCTCCTCTGAACAAATCTTGCCAAGAAAACTCCATGATATATTCGTCTCAGGGTTGCCATAAGTCAGAAATGACTTAAAGGAACATAACAACAACAAATCTTTCCTAAATCATATTTACTTGTAAAGAAACAAGAGTAGAATCTTGGGGAAGGCATAGCTAGGCAATACCTGTATTGTGCTGCCTTAAAATATTTCTGTGAAACCTCTGCCATCTGGAATAGTCTGGCTGCAGAGGTTTTTAGATCTAGAATATTTCGTTTATGTTGCTGGCAAGAGAGGAAAAGAGTGTGCACAAGGCTAGCAAATGGTCACATGTGTGCATGGAGGGAAAACAGATAAAGAGAAAAATACTTTTAGCTCAGTAGCTCTCATCCATCTTTAAGTGCTTTCCATATTTTGTTATACCAACCCAAAGTGAAGATGGTTTCTTGATTTTTCATTTTAGTACCAGCCTCCTCTCTTTATATATACACACCTCACTACTTACAACTACAGGGCACAGCCATGGGTACTTGCATGGCTCCTTCTTCTGTAAAACTGGAAAGTAACATCCTTAATGAGGCAAGTGGAAAACCTCACATATAGTGGCAATACATTTATGAGATCTTTATGGCTGGAACAAAGAAAGGAATGTTTAGGAAAGTTTATATTATATATCTATCCATCCTACAATCAAGTTTATATCTAGTAACACAACTGAATATCCTTACACAGGGACAGGCAACCTACGGCCCGGGGGCCAGTTAAGGCCCCGGTCCCCGGACTTACCAGCCCAGGCTGAAGGTTGCCACCGTGCACCGCCGCGCGCCGCCATTGCCCCCCCCCCGGCCCAGCCGAGACCTGGGCTACGGGAGACCTTGTCTATATCCTTAAAATAAGGCACCCAGAACTGGACACAGTACACTAGATGAGATCAGTATAGAATATAGTAAGACTATTTCTTCCCTTGACATAGAAACTATGCTTCTATTAATGCAGGCTAAAATAAAAAAAAAATCTCCTTTGCTGCAGCATCACACTGCTGACTCATGTTCAATTTACAATCAACAATAATCTCAAAGTCCTTTTTGCATGTAGTACTGCTGAGCCATGTATCCCTCATACTACACTTATGCATTTGTTTTTTGTGGATTAAATGTAGAATTTTGTGTTTGTCTCTATTGAATTTCATTTTATTGATTTTTGCCCTATTTTCTAGTTTATCTAGGTCCTTTAGAATGCTGTTCCTATCTTCTAATATGTTAGCCACTCATCCTAGTTTTGTGTCTTGATTAGGTTTGTCTCCATCCCACCTTCTAAGACATTGATAAAAATGTTGAAGAGTAATGACTCTTGGACAGAACCATGAGGCACTCTACTTGAGAACTCCTTCCAGTCTGAAGCACAGCAACTGATGATGACTCTTTGAGGATAATTTTCCAACCCATTATGGATCCGTCTGACACCTATCTATTCCATATTTAATCAGTTTCCTGGGGGAATTTATTAAAGGCTTTGCTGAAATCCAGATAAATGACATCCACAGCATTCCCACTATAAGAGAAAGCTATCTGTTGCCAATTAATTCTGAACATTTTGCTAGAGCCATCTGCAAGCCTCCATCAGTAAGCCTTTCTGCCAAAATCTACAGCGGTTGCTGGACAAAGCGGTCCTTAAAACACCAGTCAGCAATACAGGACCACACCCTTGTGATCAAGAGTATTCCATCATCTGTAAAAACCTTAAGCAGTCTGCTACTTTTAGGAGCACAGTGATAGGCAAGACAACACATAACCTGATATTTCTGCAGTCTTATTTATGTGATTGAGAATGCCGACATATAGGATGCAATATGAAGTATGAATGCAAAACTGCCACAGAACTGCTTCAGGAAACAATAGTCTGCATCCCTGACCAGGAAATGAGAGTCAGCCATTTCAAATCTGAACATCATAGCTTCTCTGATTTGTCCTTTTTTGATACTGAAGGGCCTTCCTCTTCAGACATTTTGAGTGAAAGGGAGAATTGTTGGATCTATAGACGAAAAATCCTAAAACCACATGGCCTCACCTTAGAGAATAATGCTATCATCCACCAAAGAATGTTGGGAAAAGAGTGTTCTGAACTGCCATCTGATATGCAACTCAGTTTAATCTTTAACAACTAAAGAAGGCAGAAGCTGAAACATTTTTCAGTTCTATTTGTTACACAAACATACATACATATACATAGAGTTGGCTTTCTGTGTCCATGGATTCAACCATCAACAGCCTAAATTTAAAAAATAATAATTCCAAAAAGCAAACCATGATTTTACCATTTTATATCAGGGGTACCATGTTACTACACCATTGTATATAATGGGACTTGAGGATTCAGGGATTTTGGTATCCCTGCAGGGTCCTAGAACCAAAGCAAACTTAGCTGAACTAATGTGTTTTCCAATATAGCACCTTCTCCGAGGGCTGGCTACTATATACAGTGCAATATTATCTGTGTTACAAAGAACTATTACTTGGTCTTGTTTTCAATCATTTAAAGAAGCAATCCTACTTTTGACTGACAGCACAGTAGGAAGCAAATGTGTACAAATTGTTTGCTTTCATATGAGTCTACAGGGAATGGCAAGACTCCACCCCATGTCCTCTCCCTTCCCCTGAGTTGAATGCAAACTACTTTTGCACTATGAATTCAGTTTACTGCCACTAAAGTAAGGCAAGACAGAGAGGGAAAGTGGGAGAAGGAGAGAGAAACTGGAACACTTTAAAAATAGCTGAACAGGTGGGATGACAGAAGATTAATTGGGAGTATTCCTACCAGACTGGGACAGTTGGAAGGTATGGCAGTACTGACTTTAGAATTGAAAGCAAGTTGATTCAAATATAACATAAAATCTTAATTAAACGAGAATGTAAGAGCCAATCAGTTTAAAACACAATAATAAAAGATACATCCAGCACAGAGTTTCCAACAGGACTTCAACTCGTATGTCAAAGGCTGGTCTGAATAAAAATGTCTTTGCCTGCAGGCAAAATGAAAACAGAGGAGACACTTTCCCTTGGGAGGGAGTTTCAGCATGTATATTCAATGATTTAATAGGGGGCACATATTTGTGCATGAATGCATACAAGCAAGAAAGAGGAAGGGAGAGAAATGGAGGAACAGAGATGCTCTGCTTACATTGCAGTGTAGGGGTATGTTACATAGGAATGGGAAATGTATTTGAAAAAACTGAAAAATGGCTGAAAAACACATTTTTGGATTGTTGAGAAACCTTGCTAAGAAGAATCCTGGATGGATGAGAATCTTTGCAGTTTGAGACTTATCCTGAACAAAATTCAAACAGCATTAAGATACAGCATTTTATGTGCAGAAAATATTATTTTCTATTTTCTAATATTATTTTATTTTTCTGCACTGAAAGATCCCATCCAAAGAGAAAGGCACAGAAAATACTATTTTCTCTCCAAAACAACCATATGTAATTTTTGCACAGAATTAAGTCCTAAATTGTTAATAGGCTTTAAAAATGGTATTTTTAAAAATACTTTTTTGCAACATGGAGAGCATTTGCTGTTTCCTCTAACAAGAAAATGAGTGAAGAATTACTTCTTAACTCCTAACAATTCAAGAAACACTGGAAGTACAGAAGATTTATCTCACCTTTAGGATATATTTAGTGGACAAGCAGACAAGCTTTTCTGCAGTACTTTAAAATATATCACACAAGATTACTGTATATAAATTTTTACTGAACACAGATACATCACCATTTCTACTGTACTTTCTCTGGCTCAATAGCCAGATACCTTTAACTGTTCTATTGCTTAAATATTTTACCATTCCTTGTTCATTTATTATGACCATTAATTGGCAACCAGATGGCAGTTCTGGTTAAATCCAAGAGAACATATGCCTTTTGTTTAAGTTCCTGAAGTATTAATTGACAGAGAATATTTAACTAGAAATGCAAGATAGGTTATTGGGGAAATGGCACCACCTTCAATTTTTATAGCTACAGAACTGTTATTGCAATGTTTATTGTTTCCATATTTTCCTTGTGGGACACGATGGCTCAAGTGGTTAAGACACTGACTCTGCTGATTGCAAGATCAGCAGGTTGGCAACTCGAGGGCCAGAGACGCATGATGGGGTGAGCTCCCATCACTAGTTCCAGCTTCTGCCAACCTAGCAGTTTGAAAGCATGCAAATGCAAGTAGATAAATAGGTACCACTTTGGTGGGAAGGTAAACAGCATTCTGTGCAATCATGCTGACCACATGATCACAGAGTAGTCTCTGACAATGCTGGCTCTCTGGCTTAGTAATGGAGATGAGCACCGCCCCCTATGGTCAGACACGCCTTGAAAACCTTGTCATCAGGGAATACCTCTACCTTTACCCTTACCTACTTTATTTTCTCCTAATTTAATTAGCATTTTTCAGTGACTTTGAACATTCAGATCTCTGAATTAGAACGGCAATGTATTTATGGCAGGTCAAGTGTGATGTAGTACAAGAAAAACAATTAAATTTTCTTTACATGTAGTCTCAAGATGCATTGTTTGCTGGTAATGTTGGTGTTTTTAAAATACTAATTCAGAAAAATACTATAGAATTTTAATCAAATTCTCTCTCTCAGCCGTCTCTTGTTTTATGTGAGAAAAGACAGGATATCAGTATCTATAAGGAGAGGGAATCTTTATCAAAACAAATCATATAGATGTATAGATAATAATGTTCTAAATAACATCTGAACAAGAGAATTATAACATAATTTTGCTGATTGGGGTTTCCAAACAAGACTTGGTCACTAGTGTATTATATGTTCCACAAAAGTAGCAGTGAACACTTTTAATTGTTACACTTTCCAAGAAATACATTGTTCCAACAAAACTTTAGAGGGTGAAATAGCATTTGAACCAGCCACAGTTGCTGAACATTTTGGGATTTTGACAT